GGGGACACTGGGGACATGGGGACACTGGGGACACTGGGGACATGGGGACACTGGGGACACTGGGGACATGGGGACATGGGGACATTGGGGACATGGGGACACAGACAGGGGCATGGGGACATTGTGGGGACACCAGGGACGTGGAGAGGGCTATGAGGGTGACATGGAGGGACATGGAGGGGACACGGAGGGGACACGGAGGGGACACGGAGGGGACCTGGAGGGGACACGGAGGGGACCTGGAGGGGACACGGAGGGGGACATTTGGGGACACGGACAAGGTCACGGGGGGGGACACGGAGGGGACATGGGGGCACATTTGACCTCGGGATTTTGGCAGATTTGGGGACACATTTCGGGGTCAGGGGTCAGAGGTCAGCGGCTGTCCCGGCTCGGGGGGGGTCCCGCTTTGGGGTGCAGGGGGCGGGGCTTTGAGAAGGGGCGTCGTCTCCTGGTGGGCGTGTCCCCGATGGGCCCCGCCCCCAGGCGTGAACATGACGCTGCGCTGGAGCTTCGACAACGGCACCACGTGGTGGGGGCGGGGCCTGCGCGTGTGGGAGGGGCCCAGCGGGTACTCCCTCGGGATTTTGGCAGATTTGGGGACACATTTCGGGGTCAGGGGTCAGAGGTCAGCGGCTGTCCCGGCTCGGGGGGGGTCCCGCTTTGGGGTGCAGGGGGCGGGGCTTTGGTAAGGGGCGTGGTCTCCTGGTGGGCGTGTCCCCGACCGGCCCCGCCCCCAGGCGTGAACATGACGCTGCGCTGGAGCTTCGACAACGGCACCACGTGGTGGGGGCGGGGCCTGCGCGTGTGGGAGGGGCCCAGCGGGTACTCGGTGCTGGCGGCCCCGCCCCCCGAAGAGGAAGGCCCCACCCCCCTGGTGTACCTCATCTACGAGAAGGGGCGGGGCCTCTCCACCGAGAGCGTCTCATTGGCCACCATCAGCCTGTCCGGCGACCTCTGACCCCGCCCCTCGCGCGCGCAATAAAGCCATTGGTTCAGAGCCGCGTTGCGTCATCCTAAGGGGGCGTGGCCTGCAGGTGGCGGGAACCGTCGCCATAGCGACGCGGGGGGCGGGGCTCCAGCCGGGGGCTTTCGCTTGGCGCGCGGCCTCCCTGAGGGCCCTGCAGCGGGGCTGCCTATCGCGGTGCCTGAGCGGAGGTGTGCACGCGGCGGGGCCGGTGCGGGGCAAGGCGGTAGAGCGGGGGGGACGCGGTGGGGCAAAAAGGGGGAGGCGGGAGCCCCCGGTGGGGCGGCGAGAGCCCCGGGAGTGCGGCGGGAGCGGCGGCGGAGCCGGGCCGTGCGTTCAGGCGATCGCCGCGGTCAGCCCCGAACCGGGGAAGGGGGGGCCTCGTCCCTCAGCGCGCGCGCGGGGCCGGACCGGAAGTGACGCTCAGCCCCGCCCTCTCGGTCGCGGCGGTCGCAGCGCTCGGGGTGAGTCGGGCCCGGCCGGGGCCGCATCCGCCGCCATCGCCGCCGCCGCTGCCCATCGCCCGCTCCC